CTTGGAGCAACAATGGAGCTTAGGGATGGAAGAGGTAATCGACTTGGAGAAGAAGACCCCCCCCCTTATGTAGTGAGAGGACAAATCCAACCGTTATCCACTTATTCAGCCCATGACATGTGGTACTACCGCACCAAACCTGCGGTACTACCGCTAAGGCATGCAGTACTACCGCACCCATGGCAGTGACCAGACGAGGCCATGTTGCGTTGACGCAACGAGTGGTAGAACCGCCGGAGAGGTACTACCGCGCGCCCTTGCGTTACTACCACATGGCAGGGATTGTCCAGACTAGGAAGTGTTGGGTTCTACGGTAGGGTGCGTCGACAGCAAATTAAAATTTTCCTACGCGTAGAACATCTAGCAACATGCTACGGGAGATGGATCACAGTTCGTTACCACTAGACGCACAGTGCCGTGCAGCGAAAGAAGAGTTGGGGCAGCGCGTCCGCGTGGATCGTCTCCTCCTCGTCCGATCTCCCTCGAATAGCCGGTCGTTCGATCCCACGTACAAGTTCGCCGGAGAAGTGCAAGTGCACCGCCTCTAACGGTATCCGCGCGTGCAGGAGGAACACCGTGCGGCGGACTGCTAGGTCCTATCACACAGTCGGCGGCGAGTGGAGGTGGCTATTCGCAACACATGCAAAACCTAGTCGTAGCGCCGAAGCGATCAACCGCATGAGTGTGCCGTACCTCCACTTTATATAGGCATCCGTCACAGGCTCAACACTTGGGCCTCGCACGGACCCTAAAGCCCAAAGTCTACTCGGTCACGTTCCTAGTCCAGTTCGGATCACATCCGACCAGTGTCCTACGAACCGACTTCGTAGGTTCCTTCCCTTAAGCGCACGACCCCTTAGGTTCAAGTCAGCTTGGTCGCAGTTCGGATCACCTCCGACCTACACGGTTGGTAGCGGCCTCTAGCAAGGCGTGCCGACCACCAAGCAGACTATGAAGCTTGTTAGGCGAACCTGTACAACGTGTCACACTTTTGTTCCCTTTTCCTCACGATATATGTTGTCGGGCTCAAGGCGAGACTGTCATCCTTGTGGTAGCCCGACCTCTTTCTCGTTACAGTGATCCCGACCCCTATCCGGATTATCTCATAATCCTTGTCGCATGGCCATGCTTATCCTGGTCGGATCACACGAGGGGCCCAGAGTATATCTCTCCTGATCGGAGGGGCAAATCCCATCTTGCCGACCATGTCTCGCAGCATGGGACTGGACATACCCAAAACCTACCTTTGTAACTACCCAGTCACGGAGTAGCGTTTGGTCGGCCCAAAGCAAGTCTGTCACCATCCCGAGTACATGCGTCAGCTCAGGTCTTAGGACATAGAACATATGTTGTACTAGAGACTCACATATGACATATCGCTGCGTCTCATAGTTGGGTCTGTCCGATCGGACCTTATCTCGACTCGGATCCGACTATGTCGAATCCGACCAGACCTTCCCAAGTCCATATTATCTGGTTAGCATCTAATGCTCCATGGCTAGTGAGACCAAGCCATCAACCGTGTCATATGCTAGTCTAATCGGCTGCACGTCCACACAGCCCTTTCGACTAGGGACCTTTTAGGACAGTCATCATACAATGCATAGTCCCACAAACAAGTCATGTACTTGCTGATACACGCCATTGATAATGTCCAAGGACTATCTTTATTCATAAACACATAGGAAATATCATCATACATGATTGCCTCTAGGGCATATCTCCAACAGGATGGCACAGACTAATAAAATTACATCCGTGGCTACTTTCGCTGAGTTTCGATCTGTGCAAAAATCCGACACGGTATTACCGCATAAAGGGCACGGTACTACCGCGTAGGGCGCGGGTGTAAAAAATTAGATCCGCCCCTACTTTCGCACGGGTTACTGTACTGAGCTGGAGGCCACGGTACTACCGCGTCCGAGGAGCGGTACTACCACGTCCCTGGCCGGTACTACCGTGGGCCTCTACGTTAGTACTGCTCCCTTGAGCAGTACTACCGCATGTCACATCACACTACCACTTGGAGTCCTTCATGTTGCAAAGACACGGATAAACGATCGGTGCTCCAGAGAAGCAAAGGAAATGTGGTGCAAAGGAATAGACGTGTACGTGTTGATACCACCCAAACCTTTTTGAAGCGGACCCCTCTTAATAGTACGGCTTTCGTACGACTCAAATCCACTGAAAAGAAATGTAGAGAAACGCCGTCTTCACTAGGCTCCGAGGGGCACCGAATCGTCCCATGCCTAGACTGGAGATATCTGAAATGCTCAATGCACACGATTAGTCTGCAAATGCATTGTCATCAATCACCAAAACCACATAGGGAGAAATATGCCCTTACAGCTTCTTTATCGAATGAAAGCATTCATAAGCGATCAACACGTTATCAGTAATTAATGTACCTGGTACAAAAGTACTCTTTGTAGGAGAAATCACCTTAGGTAGGATTTTTTTCAACCTATTAGCCAATATTTTTGAAATGATTTTGTATACCACATTACATAGGCTGATGGGCCTAAACCGTGTAACTATCTCTGGACTGTCCACCTTAGGTATTAACACCACATTAGTGGCATTCCACCCATCTGGTATCTTTGTGTTATTTATCGCTTGTAACACTTCATCTGTTAGCTCCTCTCCAATGATATGCCAAAAGCGTTTAGAAAAGATAGCATGAAGCTCATTAGGCCGGGGGCCTTCATATCTCCTATTTGAACTAATGCTTTATTACCTCTTCCCTAGTGTATGGAGCAATTAGGAGATCATTCATTTGTCCCGTTACCACAGGTTTGACTGTATTCAACAAGGATTCATCGATCAACCCTACATCTGAATTGAACAGATTCTGGAAATAAATAAAAAAATTAGGGGCTTGAGGTTATCATTCCCCTCAACCCATGCATTATTGTTATCTTTCAATCTTTTGATTAAATTACGACGCCTACAAGCCGAAGCATACTGATGATAAAAACTTGGTATTATGGTCTCAGCGGCAAAGCCAATTTGCATGCCCTCTCTGAGCCCAGTAAATTTCCTCCTGCTCGAGGAGGTTTTCAATTTTTAGCGTCAACTCTTGTTGTTTTGCCCTTGTACTAGCATCGAAGGGTTCTCGCATTAGTGCCTCTAGTTCCTGCTGGGCTGCTTTCAGTCGGGCGTGAGGGCCCTTCAAAACTTTTCTGTCCCATTGGTGGAGATCCTTATGCACTGCTGCTAGCTTGTCACTGGTTGAGGGACAGAGCCCCCTTACGACAACGTTCTGCCAAGCCGTTCTTTTTTTTTTTCTCACTATTTCTTCCACAGTTTCCTCTTCTAATCACCTTGCCTCAAATTTTCTACCTGAACGACGCTGCTGAGCTGCGACTCCCACAAGGTATTTTGTATCCAAACATATCGGCCTGTGGTCCGACTTGCCCATATCCAGATTTATAAGGCCACGTAATGGGTGCATATCCATCCATCCCGAATTCGAGACTGCACGGTCCAGCCTTTCACGCAGTCCTCCTCTGAAAAAGGTAAACTTGTCGCCATGATAGCCAATATCCTCCAAAGGGCAGTCTGACAGGGCATCTTGGAAGGCTTGTAGCCTAGACTGTTGCCGCGCCCATGCATAGACTGTTGCCGCGCCCATGCATAGGCAGTTGCCTCTACCTCAGGCGTCACACCTGTGCCTTGACTTCCTTCCTTCCGCGGGAACCAATCGGGGATGTGTGATGGGCTTCGATACAGAGCAAGCAGCGAGGTCTCCATATGCGATGCCATTTTTTTTTTTTTGCAAAGACAACCTTCTATTTATCAAAGATCAAGATAGTACAAAAAACACCAGAAATAAAAAATACATACAGGTCCGCAGACCATCTAACAACAACTATAAACACCGGAGCGAGCCGAGGCGCGCCGCTGTCATCGTCCCTCTCTCGTCAGAGTCGTGTAAACCTTATTGTAGTAGACAGTTGAGAAATCATCGTGTTAAGGCCCCATAGGACCAGCGCACCAAAACAGTAGCCGCTACCAATGAAGAGACGCGTAGAACAAAAGTGTCCAACCTATAGACACACGAACAAAGACCGGATCCATGTGAATTCGTCGAAGACAAACGCCGACCGAATCCCATGAAATTTGCGGGAGACAAACCTCCACACGATACCTTCAACCATATATTTGAAAAGTTCCGACCGGCAATATAGAAAGCTTCAACCGTGGAGTGCAAAACAAAAAAAATCTGCAATTGTTGACACAAAAGCTTCAAGCACATATTTGAAAAGCTTCAACTGGAGACCGGCGAGAAAAAAGCTGCAGCAGCGAGCCGTTGATGCACGCGACGATTTTTCTATGCACCAATGGTGCTACGACGGATGTTGAACCGGCGCTCCCAGCATTGCTGGAACTGACGGCCGCCAATTTTTTTGCTGCGTTTGGAAGACGATTTTGCTTCATAGGAGGGGCGGACCAGTGGGCGCTGGTCTTGCAACCAGCGAGCGGCGATGAGCCGGCGGTGCTTCGAGGTCGTGCGTCGATGACGAGAGTCGATGGGCTCGTCGTCTCCATTTTTTTCTTACTGGGCATGCGCGAGACGAAGAATGAATGGCTGCTAGGTGTATCTGGTGACTTCGCGTCTACCTTAGGCGGCTGGCCGAAATTTGTGCCGGTCGGCCGGCGCCTGCAGTGGCCAATTGAAAAACACCAGATCGTAAAACAGCATACTCCATGGATGAGGGGCGGAGCTAAGAACCAAATGTGAAGGAGGCCAAATGAACTTGTACACGGGGCAAGTTATAACAATACAGACATATATATATTTTTCTAAAATTTGAGGGATTAACAGCATAACAAGCACACGTCGCGCGCACACACTCACATGCATAGAAATACGGGATTATGGAACTTCAAAAAGGAAATCATGGGATTATGGGGAAGCCATGGCTCCAGCCAATCCCCTGCCTCCTCCACTGCCATGGATCACCTACGTAACTAATGATATATTGTTACAAAAAATATCAAACCACTAGCTCCTCACTAAAGATCCACATAGACTCTTGGTAGCTAAAATCCCTCCAGGTGGGGCTCATAGTTTGGGATTTCAAATTGTACTTTTCACCCGTGTCGATAAAATGAAGATCCTCGCGGTCACCGTCTTCACATGTATAAATGGATTTGCAAAAGAATTTGCTGATGAAAAGCGTTTGGTTGCCCAGCCCACCTGAAACTAGCACCCATTGTGCGCCTTCATTGACACCTGTCTCATAAACCTCCACCTTGCTAGTGAAGTTGATACTATATGCAGGCCAATGCAGTTGGCGTCTCACCATGAGCAGCTTCCCACATGACTCGACTAAGTGCCACATGACAGTGATGAGATCCTTAGGTTCGTATGGCACATCATCGTCCACCCAACATACTACGCCTTCAAGAATCATGTCATCGCCTGTTTTCTTCCGAAGTTCTTCTAAGGCGGCCTCCTCGGGATTTTGCTCACGCGGCGCCTCAGTGTGGCCCTCATAATTATTCGTGGCCTCGTCCTTACCACCCTCATCATTCTTGTTGTCGTCAACATCGCGCCACACATCAAAATCGTAATTGCCAGATGGGTGCTTGATGAGGCGCTCGATACTAGTAACTGTGGGTATGCCATCGCTATCAAAATTTATATCTAGAGAGACTAGATCCTCGGCCCGAGTGATTCCATATAGTTTGTCTCCAAGAAAAGCAATGTCGACGATGTAGATGAAGGGGACGCTTTGTGGCTCAGGCAGCCACACACCCTTCCCTGGTCGGACTAAGATAAGGGGATGATTCCAATTATTGGTCATGACAGCGATGATGTCAGAAGGCGTTGACCTTAGGAGCACTTTACGGACCTTGAAAATCTTGGAAACATTGCCGATGATAGCATCCAGCTCGGGGAGCAACACGGTGGTGCCAGTGAACGGATTGTGCAATGAGTAGCTATGCATCTTGTCGTCATCGATGAGGTCGAGGGCGAGCCAATCGTCGCAGGAGGCAATGCATGTTGTATTGCTGGGCAAGGTGGGGAGCCGGGAAGGGGAGGTGCCAACAGGATCCGAAGGTGTGAAGAACGAGCCATCTGACATGACAATCCAGGGTACCTGTCGTGAAGCCGCAATGTGTCGGCGCATAGCTCGATGCCACGAACGACACACCATGCGGAAGCGAGCGCGGTCGAAAGAGACCCAGTGCCGGTCACGCCGCACCTTCTTGAAGCCAAAGCCAGCGATGAAATCAAGAAACCGTCGGACTCGCGGCCATTCTCTGAAGCGAGCGCGGAAACCCAGGTGCCGTCGGAGTCGTGACCACAGCGAGGCGCGGCGCGGTAAGGAAACCAGTCGGTTGATGACCAGGCCTAGCACGTCCGGCGGGAGTTCTGACCACGACGCCGGAGTCGACGTCGCCATAGATAGAAGCGGATGTGGATCGATCGGGTGGATTTGCGTCAACCGTCTGGTGTAGTCGGGGCACCGCGAGTACTGCACTACGTGCTGCCTAGCTACGTATATAAGGAAGGATAGGTTAGTTCCGATTTTGACGGGAGTCCCGCACCCAAACGGACGCCAACGTGAACGAACATTCCCGAGTTTGAGCCGAATTCCAATTAGCGTGCTGGCTCGCGCGACCCCTGCCGGAACCGAGTACTCTTGCACGGACCCGCAAACCTAATCAAACACGATCCGCCGTCTCGGCGGCCGCGGCGGCGATGGGCAAGGCGAAGGGGAAGCATCTTTTTGATAAGGTCGAAGTGACTAAACCTACAGCGAGTCACGGCACGTCGGCTGAAATTTACATGATCTTTTTTTTTTGAGGGAAATAAATTTACATGATCTGTCTGAAGTACAAAACCAAAACCCCTGCAAAGATTCAACCAGAGCTTCTTGATATCAAGCACCTGTTCAGTGTGGATCCAGAAAAGAACACACCTAAGGATGTACTACTTGACAATAAGAATGCAAAGAAGGGGACTCGTGGTGGGTACGCACCTGAAGTCACGGTACTGGAGAAAGTTGTTCTGGCATCAGATTTCATATGGTCCGAGGCGCATAAACTCCGGGAATTCCTTGGTTCATTCACTAAGATTTCATTTGATAATCCTGCATCTCTGCCCATCAAGAACCATGAACTCACCACAGATGAGGTCAAATACCTCTGCCAGGATTTACAGGTGCTGGATAAAAAAAAGTTCAAGCATATCTTGAAGCAGCGCGCATGCATAAGGAAAGCCCTGCCGCCATCTTCGCAAGTTCCACCAAAGGCTGATGGTGCTGCAACGGACACCAAGGTCAAAGATGATGTTCAACTTTTACAGGAAATGGAAGAAATGGATTCTGATGAAAATCACCACCTGGAGGAGATGCTTCATGAAGCTTATGAGCAGTATGTGACAAAAAAGGGTCAAGAAGAAAAACAAGAATACAAACGTGACAAGCGAATCGATCCTGATGCTGATGCAGCTTTGTTAGAGGTAGGTGAAGATGATGGTGGCAACGTTAGCATCGATCAAGGTTCTGACAAAGATCAAGGCAAGAGACCAACCCCCTTTTATCATGTCTAGATACAGAGAAGCCAGCGGAAGAGCAAGATGTTAAAGCAGTGGTTCAGTCAGGATATGTTGACAGAAGCAGGAAGAAGGGGAAGG